CAAGAATTTTAAAAATATTTTTTAATGTTAGGAATGACATTATTTCCAAAATTGACCTAGAAATAACAAGTCCTGATTATATAATAACAAGTCTCGGGTTGAGATTTTACCCCTTTATTACAAAATTGGTATTTTGGTAATTTTGCTTGAATTTTATAATTCCAATTTAGATTTGTTCTCTCAAAATGATTATGTCATTTCTAGAACCCAAGCGAAAATTTTGCAATTTTTTGGGTCTTTAAATATCATTTCCCCGAATACTTAACCAAAAAAGAAAACACACGGAAATAATGCTTGCATGAGAAAATGTTATAAGCAAGCATAAACTAAGTAAGCATGTCACACACTTGCATCTATCTTGCATGCATAAATGGTAATGTTTGCTACTAAAATTCTTTCAAATCTTACTCTCCCTTAACTAACCATAATAGATGATAATGGTTAAGCAAAGGATCCATGAAGTGGAAGCAAGGAAAGAGGAAAAGAATTGAGAAATTTTATTGGATTACATTGTATAATTTGTATGTTAATGTATGATATGAACATGCTATTAATGTCATGTGATGATAAATAATGATGATGTCATGTATGATTGACTATAATAATATATGGGATAGTTTGTGGATTAATGGAATAGTATTATGCAAGGAAATAATTAATTATGAATTATTAATACAAGTTATGGGGATAAAGCATCCCTAAAGTAGCCATGAATTAGTGACAAAGTTGAGGTGAGGCAAACGATTGATTCTTCCGATGAAATTTGTTATGGTTAAAGTATCTGATCTTTAAAAAAAGTGGTAGATAACTTAAAATGGATGTGTGCTAAGAGTTTTGCTTGATCAAAGTTGGAGCAGAGAAACTGGAAAGTACAGTTTTTACCAAATGAATAGTAAACTTCAACGAATAAGCTATATAATTAGTAAGGATTAAGTCCAGTTTTATATTTTTTTCCTGTAGAGAATTAAAATAGTTTCAAATGAAATTTTGAATAACCTCAATATGATTTTTCTATAATTAGTTATGATTTTTCAAAGTTAGACAAAAAATATGAAATTTAACCAGTGAACAGTAACCCAAGAAACAAATGTTAAATTTTCAATCTACAGGCTTGTTTCATGAATTGCTTGGACTGTAACGCTTCCAAATGCATACTCTGAGGGGTTAAAAAAAGAATGTGACACTTCACTTTTGCTTTTTCTCAGTTTTGTTACTTTATGTTGAAATGGTTATCCCTTCACGTGAAATTGACATGCTATAAACGATCATTTTCTTGCATGAAACCTTTCCAACATTTCGTTAACAGTCTCCTGCATTACTATACTCAACTTTACATGCCAACATCATCATTCATTATTAAATAACATCAATAGGCATGTTCTTGATTACATCAATATAAGGCATTACATAACATAACATAATATATTACTTCAACTCTCCTTATTAGTCTTCTTGCTTTACTTCATGGATTCTTCCTTCATGATCCTTTATCTATTATGGTTGGTTAAGAGAGGTTGAGATTCTAAAGAATCTCAGTATACTACCTAAACATACATGGCATAACTTGTTATTTATAAAATGCTTGCAAACTCAACATTTTCATAACATAAATCAAATAGGCTTATGGTATGCTTCAAATATTATTACATATATAATACATGAGTTCATAAAATCATATAAACTTAACAAACATGCCATCCATGCAAGCAGATACCAAGCATATAAGGGTAGGATAAAGTTTGCTTCCTCAAAACTTTAGCTCCTCTTGCTTCCTTTGCTTTCCATCTTCATTGTCCAAGCTTAAAATCAACAAGATCCAACTCCTTTCTCATGAACAAGCCCTGGTTGAAACATTATAAGGTTTAGGGAAAATTTTATTTTTAATTATAATGCTTCCAAACTTACTTTCTAACTTATACATTGCACAATTGTTCATTCTAAACACATTAGAAACATTAAGATCATCAAAACCAAACTCTAACGCAAACCCTTGCTATGGCCAAAAATTACATAATGTCAAGGGAAAGTTGGATTTTTTCCAATTTCATCACAAAACCACTTAATTTTTACTCTTTTTTTTTTAATCATTAATCTAACTTCAATCAATCCTTTTTATAACTTAATCAATATTGAATAGCACCTTACCTTCCAAAACTCATAAAAAACCATAATCAAGGTTTGCAATACATAGAGCATCATAAACTACATTAAAATCTATAGTCTTACCTTATCTTAAAGCTTGGTTTGGCCTAGGACTTCATGCTTTTCCTCTTCTTTTCTCTCTCTTTTTCTTCTAGGGCAAAAATTTCACCTCCTCTCATTTATGTTAGGCGAAATCTTCGTGCAATTTGGGGGAGGGTAGGGTATTTATAATGATCTCCATTTTATTTTGCCCCTGGAATTAGAAGGATTTACAATGCCATATGTCATTTTTTCCAAACCTCTATGTAAGTCTAAATACTTTATTTTGCCCTCAAAGTTGACAAAAATTACCATTGCCATGTGTCATCATCTCTAAGCTTCCATGTGGTCTTGGAATTCAAGAAAATTCCTTTCCAATTAGCCCTTTAACAAATTCTAAAATTCCAATACTATCCCCTCATGAAAGATGGCCCCAAAATAGGAAAAAAAATTTGTCCAAAAATAACCCTAGGTTATTCCTCCATCAATTTTCTAATGTTATACTATATCGGATAATTTTTCAAGTCTTGACTTACCCAATAACACTAACATATGTTCTATTACCCTTATCTTGTAGTTATTCTCCGTTTCTCATCATAAATTGCTTTATGATGGCTTCAAATGGCACATTCATGAGGAAGCAGATGAGTTCATATTGAATTTGACTTCCTCAATTATAAAGTAATAATTTAATCTCATCAAATTGTTTTTGATGTTTCCTTGCCCTATCTACCTCATATATTCTCTTTACTCATAGGAAAATTCTCTAATTTTTCTCAGGCCAAAACTCCTCCAGCAAGTATTTCTTTTTGAATTTCCCAAACAATGCCTCTAATTAGCATAATTAGGCTTTAAATATTTTTAAAGCCAACCTTCTCATCATTTGGAAATCAAACCCATTTTATAAACTCATATAATTCTTCAAGTAATTAATCCCCATTTTTTTCTAATTATTTGAGCCATCTTTGTATTTTAAATAATTAGGCTTGTTTAGATAACTCATAATTAACCATATTTCTAAAAATCCCTTCAAACTCATTCTTAGAGTATTTTTATTATTTTTAACTTCAAATTGACCTTTATATCTCATTTTCTATTTTAGAAATTTTTTCTGAAATTTCAAGCTTATTTTTTGTATTCACCCTTTCAGTCTAAAACTTTTCAAAATTATAATTTGGTTTTTATAAGGGTTTAACTTCAAGAATCATCTCGTTGAGATCTCTACCATAATCTTTGGCCCATTATCATAATCATTCCTCATACTTGGCCTCCAAGACTTTATTGGAGTATCTATTTTCCTCTATCTCTTGATCATAGAAAACTTTCGTTTTCCAATTTGGTCTCTAATAATCTTTCTATTCTTCTAGAAAGTTCTAAGACTCTCTGTCAAAAAAGGTTTGGTAGCTTGTCTATTTTAGGCTACTTTTTGTACTTCAAGGCTCAAAATATGAGGTTGCAATGACGACTTTAATTATTGTTGTTGAAAGTTAAGCTTTTAGTGATAACTCTATAAATCATTAATGAAAGTCATTCATCAATTATCCTTTTTGTAGTGATGAAATTATAGATTAATCTTGATCATGAGCACTAAACATAAGCTAAGTGATTAGAATTGGGACAATTTTTATTCACTCTAAGAAAGTGTTTTTGCTTTAGTCTCCTCTTTCCTTTCTAGTTCGTATCTTGTTGTTTAATTTACCTTTGAGCATGGTTTTTAGCTTCTAAAAAGTTCTTAAACACAAAATTCATCTATTATAGGTGATCAAACTATTCTTTGAATGGTACGTAAATTATTATTATCACTTATTATATGAGTTTGAAACGTGTTCCCACGTTCTTTCTTTAACATTATGATGCACTTAATTAACCATTCCCTTGATTAATGAGATGCAAATATATGTGGTCTAGCTTATTTGATATGACATATCTTATTAAGTTTTATTTAAAGATATTAAAAAGATAAGTGAAAAGTTGATTTCGACTAAATGGTTGTTTTGTTGAAAGTGTATACAGTTGAAGCGCAGATTCTAACCCAAAAATTAATCGAAATTATTGATTTTCAAAGATCATGTATTTCTAGCTTCAATATGTATTTCTCCTCCCAAACTTAAAGTCCTTAACGCGTGATGATATTATTCCCTGATTCCATGATGAAAAGGAAATGGTTACATGTGTGGTCCGCACTATAAACTTCTCATATGCTCTCCAATATGTACCGTTCCTTTATGCTTTCAATTATATTTATAATTCCTTTTACAAGTATATATATTGCCTTATGCTTTTGAAATTCCTACTTCTTTTTCTGTAGTAACAAGGGGAAAAAAAAAAGGTTGTTTTTCCATATACTTTTTTTTTCTTTTCAATACTGATATAATTTATTTTTTAATTTTTTCCTAAATGTTATGTTTAGTTATTTCACTTTCATTTACTATATATTAATTTGAATTTCTCTTATCTTACATATATTTCTTCTGGATTATCGAATTAAGAGGGTGATTCGTTTCATTAACCTGGAAGTTGAGATTTTACTTATAGTTCACCTATCCATTTTCTAAACCGACTTAATTATCTTCTATTCTCTATTATTCTTCTTCTACCTAGCTAGGTTTGGCGGGACACTATAAGCTAATCTAACGGACTTACATTAGGTTTGGCCTATTTGCCCGATCAATGTTTCCAAAATTTTACTTTGAATTCTTAATACAATATCTATTTAATTAATTTGCATAGATTAAGCAAACTAATTAAATTAATTATTTGTCAAAAACATTTTTTGGTTTTTCAAAATTATGTACCCTCTTAAATCATTTGCATTAAACATACCTTTTTTTGCGAATTCGTTTAATATGTGTATGGTGACAAAATAGATTAATATGTCCTATATTCAGGACCAAACTCAGTCCTCTATTGACTATTATGTTAGGGATTAGAGGTAGTAAAAAATTATTAAAGATAATATTGGAAACATGTTTTTTTCCCCAGAAAATTGGCTCTTAATAGATGAGTCAGAGCTTAAAATTTTTCAACTATAATATAGATGTATAACCGATCAACTCAAGGAACTGGCTATACAAATAATTTTATTCTAAAATAACTTCCTTATATATAACTTACATATTATAATTATAATTATAATTATACATGCAATAGAGCTAGCTAGAGACAAGGTGTCACATTCCAAAAATTTTCACCTGGCAATAGGGAATCAAAAATTTGGATGAGGGTTAATGTAGAAACTAGATGGGGAGATGAAACAACTTTTGATGTGTAACCCTAATAAGGTCCGAGTTGGCATTTTCAGAATAATCAGTCTAGGAAGGGCAAAACGGAAAAATTTGAGAAAATTCTAGAAAAATCCCAAAAAATAGGAAAAGTATAAATAAGAGGTTTTGGAGACTCAGTTGATGCTCAAAAGGTGGAATTATGGTGAAATCAAATTATTACGGAATTTTCTGTAAACAGAGGTTCTTCGGGAAAATATTAGAAAATAAGAGAAAAATAATTATTTTATATAGTTGGATACCTCAATAAATTTGGAAGAAAGATGGATAATTCATATAAATATTTATTTAAACTTATAAATTATTTTTATGTCTTGGAAGCTCAGGAATTAATTTTAAGGAATTTATTTTCTCTTAGATTTATCGATAAAGGCCTAATCGGAGAAAATTCAAAATAAATACCTAGTGGTGGCAAAAAGTTATGAAAATTTTCAGATCATGTTCTCATATTAAAAAGTGAATTATCATTGAGAGAAATGAATTTTTGAAGGTCTGAAAAAATTATGGAACGTTACTAGTAAATAGTAACCGATAAAGTTTCAAATTAGTTTGAGATAGTGATTTGGTTTGTGAGCCATCTTTTTGGATCAGCCCAAAACCGTTTGTGGGGCCCACATTGAGCCCAATAAGCGCCTAATTTCGTGTGCAACTTCCAGGTCCCTCTATTTTTATTACATAAAATGTAAAATTAAGGGATAATTGTGTGGAAAAATCTATAAAATGAACACTTGTTTAAATCTGATCCTTCCAGCATTTGATGGCTGCCACCTATACCCTTGAGGTGTCCCAAATTTCAGCCAATTGAGGGGGAAAATGGAAAACCAATTTTTCTATAAATACCCCTTGGAAAAATACAAATAAATGCTAGAAAAATTAGAAAAACAAGGGGAAACTCTGTCATTGTAGCTCCAGCCCTATTCCTTCAAAATTTTCAAGTGTTTTAGGCAAGGAATCATCCAACTTACACCAAGAAAACATTAAGGTATATCTAAGCATCATTATCCTTAAGTTTTACATTAATTGGATTCAGATTTTGGCTTGGAAAATCATGAAAAAATGCTGTAAAATTTGGTCCAGCCATATGATACTTAGGAAAGGACAGAAACCTTAATAATAAAGTGGAATAAGCAAGATTAAATGGTGTATGGTTGGGTTTTTGGAAGAAATGGCACCTAGGGTTCTATATGTCATTTTTGGCCTAGCACTGTTCATGTTGAAGGAGATTGTTTTGGCTTGATTTGATGATTCCAATGAGTTTAAAACATGTTTTTGTGTAGGGATGTATGGTTGGGAAGTGTTTAAAATCATTAGAATCAAAAATAGAATTTTTGGAAGTTATAACCCCCTATTTGGCCAAGATGAATTCATGGGGAAGAAGTGTGAATTTAAAAAATCTGATTGCATATTTGGATTCTTCATGAAAAATTGTGTAGGAATGAGTCATGATGTTGTTGATTCAAAAGGAGGAATCATTTTGTTAAAAAATCAAAGAAAAATGGGGGAAATTATTAAGTTAAAGTTTAAGAATTGTGTTTAAGTTGTTTAGGGATTAATGTGGCTTATGTTTATGCTTTGTTAAATAGGAATTCTGAGGAGGAACTAAGAGGAAGCTTTGTTCTTGAAGTAACTAATTGGACAAGTATTAAAAAGGTAGCTTTGAATTATAATTTGATTGTTTATCTTGCTTGTTTAATGTGACTTCTTGATTGTTTGGGTTGGAGGAACTTGTGTTGTGCTTTTGGTTGATTGAATGACATTAGTTTATGCTTTGGCCAAATGCATTGTGGTATGCCAATGTCGGAAATGTTAATGTTCCTGTCCTTGCAAGTTATTGGATATGATTTCCTATGTTTGGGAATATTTTTGAATGGTATAACATGTCACATGTGAACTTGCTTGATTTACATGACAATTATAATTCATATGCTACTAAGATTTCTTTGAAATCTCACTCCACCTATGTTAAATTATGTCTCAAATAGGGAGTGATTCATTCGATGGCAAGGGCAAGGAAATGGTTTTGGGATGAAGGAGCAATAGGGAATTCATGACATTTTTAGAATGTTGTGTCATGTTTTAATGAGTTTTATGTTATTTTGTATTGGATTATGAATGATAATATGGTGTAAATTATGTTTATAAGATATGCCCTAATGTTGAAATAATGAGTGGTATATTGGCACAAGGTTAAGAATAAGGAAAAAGGGAAATAAAAATTAAAGAAAGTGGAATTAGGAGATAAAAATACCCTTAAAGAGGCCAAACTTGTGGCACATAGAATAATGAGCAATTGTTGGAATTTGGACATGAAATTTTATAAGTAAATATATCTTATTTTGACCTTTAAATCAAGTGGTAAACCATCAAATTTAGAATTTTGTGCTAAGAGTTATGTCCTTCCAAATTTAGGCCAAAATACTAGAAATTAGAAAATTGACCATATGAACAGTGCATTTTGTCGAATTTTCTGGTGCTTTTCTGGATGGACTTGAGTCCAATGAATATTTTTTCTCTATATAAATCTTGGCAAGATTCATGTGAAAATTGGAACCCCTCATTTCAATTTTTCTAGATTTAGTTATGAATTTTCAAAATTGGCCAAATTTCAGATGAACAGTGTACAAACAGAATTAAATGTGAAATTTTTAAGTTGAAATTTTTCATCTGGAAAACACTGCGAAACCCATTATAATAGTTCTAATTGATATATAATGGGATATTAAAGGAGGTGTGACATTTTTTGGTATTAAAACAAAGGTTCTGGCTCTGTTTCTGTGTACTGTGTTTACTATTATGTATTGTGCATAATGATTGATTATTGTTTAACATGTTAATATCAATTCGAAAGTCATTAAAATGTGTTGCGATATTGTTATTTTCACCTCAATTGTAAGCATTTCATGAAGACAATAGTTTTCCCCATTTTGCTAAGTCTTGATGTTGGGGGAAAAAAAAACTTGTTAATCTCATTTCAAGAATTGTTAAAATATATTACAATGTTGTTACTTTTTGCTCAATTGTAAGAAATATGTATTTGCTGATATTTAGGGTATTCCTATCATTTTCCCACATTTGTATAACGCTAATTCAGGATTTCCCTGCCTCTCTTTTATTTGCAATTGTTAGATGCCTAACTTGAAATTTAGTATTTTCAGGGAATTTTTTTGAGTGATATTCCCTTAGTTTTTTCACTTTCATTTACTATATATTAATTTAAAATTCTCGTCTTACACATATATTTCTTTTGTATTATCATAATTCGTTTTATTAGCCTATAAATTGAGATTTTCCTTTAGTTGGCCCATTCGTTCGCTAAACCAAGTCTCTTAGCTAATCCTCTCTTCTATTTTCTGTTAGGTAATCCGGCGGATTTACATATGGTTTGGCCTATTTGCCTCACCAACGTTTCCAAACCTCCAATCTGATCCTTGATATATGATATGCTTAAGTAATTTGAGTATATTAAAAAAAACTAGTTGAATTAGATATCTATTAAAAATAGGTGTTGATTTTTCTAAAATATCTTCTTGAATCATTTGCATTAAAATTACCCTAAATGCAAACTCCCTTAATATGATATATATAATCAATAGGGATAGTTTGGACAAAAACAATAAGTAATGGGAACAAAAAGAATTAAGGTCTTATATTTAGTACTAAACTAAATCCTCCCACTAACCCTTGAACTGGTGTCTCAACTGGTTCAATGATTAATCTGGTTTTTGAACTTCAATCTTTTTAAGAAAATTAGCTCTTAAAAGATGAGTCATAGCTTAAAAATTTTCAACTATAATATAGAACATAACATATCAACTCAAGGAACTGGGCAACTGGCTATAAAAATAATTTTATTACCGATATATAACATGTAAATTATAATTATACAGGCAATAAGAGCCAGCTAGAGACAACGGGAAGGTTGGTAAGTGAGGATGGAAGTTGAATAAATGAATGTGACGTAAGTGTAGAGTGAGGAGTGTGACGACATGGATGATGAAGAGAATAAGTGGGTGGCAAACATAATGTAATGTTTAGGATGGAAGAAAGATATGATGACTTTCGTTTTCATTTATAATTCTTTTCCTTTTGTCTTTATAAGCTTTCCCACTTTCTTTTTGAATGGGAAACTGGCCTTTCAACTTTTTGAACTCTTGGCATAGCAAAGCTAGCTAGTCTCTCTCACTATTGGAAATTCGGCACTTGTGGAGGGAAAATACACTTGTTTTTTTTTTTTCTCTTGATCATGCAATTACAAAGACAAACCCCATTATTGTGATGAGAAGATTATTTCTTTCTCCAATATTAGTATCAATTTCTTTTGAATCATTGTTATATTTTTGCTTGCGAAGTGCGTCCATCATATTATAGCTTTCATTATGTCTTTGAAGGACAAGACGCCTCATTATTTATTCGGGAATTAGTCCCACTTGTGGCCTTATTGGTATCAATGCATGCTTTGCTTTTCTTTTGTTTTTTTTATCCATCATGTCATGTCATTCAAGAATATTTGCTATAAAATAATTTTATAGGAAAATTAATAATATTCCGGCCCTAAATATAAAACATATTTCATAGTTTAATTTATGTTATAAAATGGGTCTTATATTTATAATCAGAGAAGTATATTAGTATTTATAGTTTTGTATAATTATTTGTCTTTGTAGTTTTTTTATCAGGTCCTCGCAATTTTCTTAATTATAGATCTCAGTCACTATATATGTTGAGCCATCAATGTAGCAAAAAGAGCACTGGCCATATGAATTTGAACTCGCCATATAAATTAGCTTTCTAGGCCAATTTTACTGTAAGAAAATAAGCGACATTTGATAAATGAGTGGGAGGTGTGAATGTACGGATAAAGTCGGTGGTGGAAGGAGAAGGATGAATGATTGGGACTTTTTGAGAAGAACAATATAAAACATAATATTCATTTTTCTGTTTCATTGATTACTGGAATCCCACACAATGTTTATAGAGACTCTATGTGGATAAGAATACACCAAAAAGGGACACGTGTCTAAGAAAATGTTTTAGAATAATCATATAGGGCTAGCTGCTCGGTCATATAATATCTATTGGATAATAACGTGCTCTTGAGTGGATTTATTTGTATTTGAGGATGATTTTTCCAATACTTATTTATTTATGCTAACAGAAATTATATATATACATGTAAGTGAGGAAACTATAGTGACTCAATAAGTGCAAAAATGCTACTGAAACCTAATTGAAAAAAAAAAATCAAATGAAATATATCTAACTCAAGTTGGATAGACAATATAATGTAATGAAACTCGAAGTCTTGATGTATCTAAGCAATATAATCAAGTAAGTGCAGGCAGAAACATCAAATATGAATGATACTTATGATGTGAAAGGTATAAAAAAAATGAATAATCAAGATCATCGAACAATTCGACTGAACTGAGGATATCTTCTAGTTAAGATATGAAGGGTAAGAAACTTGACTCAAGCTGATCTTGGATTAACTACAAGTTGAAGTAGCTTTAAGTTACACTTAAAAAGAGTAACTTGATGTGTCCAAAAGATATTATAATTGAAAGAACAATAACTTGGTGTATCCAAAAGGTATTATCAAATAGATATTGAATAGGAACGTAACACCAAGTATGAGGGACGCTATGTGGGAGTAAAAGTACAATCCATAAGATCAAGAAGCTGGTTCAACTCAGATAGATTAAAAGAATAATTTTTAGTTAAGTACAAATGACTCGAGATGCATTAAAAAGAGTATGAGAAACGAAATATGTGACTCAAGCCGGGAAAGATAAACCTCAGGTTGAGTTGAATAGATTGAAGTATTGACTTGAGAGATTAAGATCATTTGACTTGTGTTACTTGAACTGAATCGGGTTGATACAGCAAACTTTGACTCACGATGGAAGCGTTCAATAATGCAAGTTATTAGATTCATATGATGACTAAAGAAAAGGCATGAACTCAAGTTGAGTTAGACTCGACTCACTGGATGAACCCAGATATATATCACATGACGTGCAAAACTCATAATCACTTAGAGTACATAACATGATAGTACAGTAGTAACCCAAGGTACATGCATGTCTTGGGTTGATAGAGATTAACAAGTATCAAATATATTATGACATATTTAATTAGTTAATTAATGTTATCCTGGAAAATAATAATCCATTTAGTCTTTATTATAAACTTCAAATAATTAATTTGCATATAACAAGACGTTATTTAAAATTAATTAACAACAATAAATATGTTAAAAGTATACTTTTGTTTTCAAATATGCCTTTATATAATAAAGGAGTAAAAAAGATAAAATAGAATGTATGCAAAATGTGACAAGAGAGAGTGTAGCAAACAAGAGAGAATAAATAAGAAAGAGTGTGGCAAATGAGATAGAATAAATAATTAAGAAAAAAAATTAAGTATTAAGACAAAATCAAAATAAAACTTATAAAACGGACCACGATTCTCTTCAAATTTAAAGCTTATAAATAGAATCAGATGGAGTACTTCTCTCATTTAGTTATCATCAAAACATTTAGTCTATTATTAATAACTTGAATTTTAAAGTAAATCATTTTAACCAGGTTTATTAAAGATAATGACATCATATCACTATTTATGTACACAAGTGGTCCCCATATGTTGAATTTTAATTCAAATATGGTGGCCGTAATTATTGAATTCTGTTGATGAATTTTAATTCAAATATGGTGGCCGTAATCATTGAATTCTGTTGATGGAAATTTCGTAGCAAGCATTGGGTCCATATATTCTTTTTTTCGGAAGTCTAAAAAGCACTTATATTAGACAAAGAACGAAAATACCCAAAAATATGAACACGATCAAGTGCTATATTGGGTTGGAAGTTCATTGGGAGAGAGAGGCAGATAAAAACTGAATATTATTATTGCTACATGTAAAGAAAACAAGGGGCATTTTTTTATTTGAATCACAAATTTAAATTGAATTTTATACAAGGTATTGTATTAAGAACCGATATGTAGGCTCTTATGTATGGGGTTGGGAAAAGTACCTTGTATATGTTCAAGAGTTAAAGTGCAAATTTGTCCTAAAAATTTTCACTTAAGAGTACTAGATATCCTTAACTTTTTTTTTGTGTGTAAATTTATCTTGAAAGCTAAAATTATAGCAATTTTGTTATCTACCATTAGAAAACTAATGTTAATCGTTAAAATAATAACATGGATCATAAACAATTTAAACACTAAGGGGTAACATTACTACAATTTTAAATTTTTGGGATAAATTTACACTTTATAGCCTATGTTTAATATTTATCTAGAATGTAAAATCTTCGGATGCTGGTTAAATATAGACTTCTCATATAATAACAATATAAAAATCTACAGAAGTTTTCCAAAGACTTCCTATAAATTGAGGCACCAACATGCCCCTTTTTCCTCAACCCAATTCAAATTAAACAAAAGGAAATATGCATTCTCTTCCACTAGTCTTTTTCTTATCGCTATCATCTATTCCGATTCTAACCAATGCCTTAAGCCTTGATTTCGACCTTATTCACCGTGACTCGCCATTGTCGCCATATTACAATTCTTCAAGCACCCTATCAGAACTCACTCAACAAGTTATGCTTCGATCCATGGCTCGCTATAAACGACGTCGTCCTCCTCAAACTGATATCCTTCCCCCAATTTTCTTTGAAGGTGAAGGTGAGTACCTTATGAGAATCTATATTGGTTCTCCACCAGTTCAAACATGGGCTATCCCAGACACAGGAAGTGACCTCATTTGGATCCAATGCTTGCCATGTCACGCTTGTTTTCCTCAAAACACACCAATCTTTAATCCCTTGGCTTCTTCTACATATAAGATCGTCTCTTGCCACTCAAAACCTTGTAGGTCATTCTTTGATAAGGGCGGCTCAGGATGTGGTGGTTCAACACAGTGTGTGTACGGATATGGTTATGCGGATGGATCAACTACGTCTGGGGAGCTGGCAAGAGATTTGTTTAGTCTTGGGGGAAAATCTGATGATTCATTTAAGAAACCTTTGCTTTTAGGATGCGGGCATAACAATAGGGGGCAATTCTCACGCAAAGGTTCAGGACTTGTAGGGCTTGGTGGGGGGCCTTTGTCTTTAGTTTCACAGTTGGGTCGTGAGATAGATCGCACATTCTCTTACTGTTTAGTTCCTTTCTTTTCAAAATCCAGAGGTAAACTGAAATTGGGTAAGGATTCAAAGATATCTGGATCACGTGGGGCTGTTTCTACTCCATTTGTGACTGACGATTCTTTCAAAACAAATTACTACCTCACTCTTGAAGGTATAGTAGTACTGCTACAAGTTATGATAAAAATTTTCATGAGCTATTATCATCTTCAGGTTGCATAGGTTTTTCCATTTTGAAACTTTTTATCATAAAAAAAGAATTGAGTGGCATCTAACATCCTGATATTATTTCTCAATTGTATCCAGCATCCTAATCTTATTTATGGTGTAATCAAGACCTCGGGGTCTATTTGGTATGAGGGAAATGGAGGCAACGGGAAGGGAAGGAAAATTTTAGCAAGTTAGGTTTAAAAAGATGAAAAAAATTGAGTTAAAAACGTTTAATTAATTTTTCTTACTATTTTATCTTGCAGATTATCTATATTAAAATTTTATAACCCCACTTCTCTAATTTTTTAAATGGCACTCATTAAAATTTTGCCTCCCCTTACCTTCCCTTCATTTAATTTCTATTATACCAAACATAGGGTTAATATTATTTTTCTATTGCTTTAAGCACCCTGGTGTTATTTATAGTGCATTCAGAACCTTAAACCATAAATAAGATTAGGATACTGCACGTAACTAAAAAGTAGCATTACAAAGTGTTAGATGCATATGAAAAATAACATTAGGATGCTAAATGCTACTTTACTCTTAAAAAATAGTTAATTTTTATCAAGTTATGAATGTATGTACCTTGATCTTCTTATTAGTTTTAACTTGAAATAATATTAGTAATTAGTAATTGGGATTGAATTCGATTTTTACATGCGAGATCTGCTTATTATTATGTGTACTTCCTTGACCTTTAAGGTATCACCATTGGCAACAAGACATTGAAGACTGGTCCCAAAAGAAAGGGGAACACTCTTATTGATTCTGGGGCGACATATTTTTTAATGGAAACGAGGTTTTACACAAAGGTGGAGGCTTTGATAAACAAAGCCGTTAGGATTAAAGAAGTAAGAAATCCTCCTGACCCATTCACCTTGTGTTACCCAAATAAGTATTCCGAAACTATCAAGAAGAGATTTCCAAAATTTGTGGTTCATTTTGAGGGTGCCGACATAGCCTTGAAGCCAGATCAAAACATATTCTTTCGGCTAGATAATTTGCTCTGTTTAGCCATACTCCCAAGCGATCAGTTTGACTATGGAAGTTTGCCCCAAATTAATTTTCAAGTGGAATATAACCTTAAAGCCAAAAAGATTTCTTTTGCTCATGCTGATTGTGGCGAGAATTAGAAGAGATGTATAATTATATATGTTATAAACAAAATAAATAAATGCGCGCGCACATATATGGTTTGAGAAATCATATTTGATCTTATATTAGTAAATTATGGACCCTAATATATAAGGGTCATTTGTAATGGATTAGCCTGATCATCTTATGAGTCATCCCAATGAGTAGTACATGGGATATCATCATCATCTATTGTCTTTGTTATATATCGTGTATTTGACTATGAGTTAATGAAGAACAACTTCATTTGTGTGTTTAATTATTGAGTGCCATAAGATTGGTTTATTGCTTATTGAGAAGGGCCTAAATAAATAACAAAATTTTAACCTGGCACTATAGCTTAGGTTACACACACACATGTGCCATCAAGATCAGTGGCAAATTACAAATAATCAACCTATAGTTATTAAGTTTTGCTTTCTTGGGTTTTTCTTGATCATTCATATACTTGCTAAAGACCACCGATTTTCATGTATCTTTCATGGCCATTAAGATCCCTGCCAATGAAAATTTCCCAATCTTCCAAAAACTTTTAATTTTGTGCTTCCATTATTACTTGAGGGCCCTAAGAGTTATGATGTTGACATCGCACCCAACAATTATTCTAAAGATAATATCTTATATATCACTGGTTATTTGTACTCCCAGCACATTTTTCATCCAATTATTGTCTAGAGTGCCCAAAAAGACTTGGACTACCTTGAAGTTAAGAAAATGAGGAGAATTCATTCATTGAGAGAGAAACGGAAAGATGGGGAAAAAACTATAGATATAAATTAGTCAAAATAGTTTTATTGGTAATTTTTAGTCAAATAATTTTGTCTTATAAAGAGTAATCACTAAAAAAAAAAATACTTTCAGCAGCAATCTTATTAACAGTGAACTTTTGTCACAAAAAGTCACACTTTCATCAACAATTTTCATTATCATTGCATGAATTTTAGCAGCGACTTTTTAGATTTAGAGTAATAGATACATGGGCACTAAAAGCTTTTTTTGTTTTTTGTTTTAACTGAACAGAGGGGGAATAATATACTACAAATTTCGAGATGCTCACAAGAACAATATACTAGATAGTAAAATTTGAGGGAAATTACGTATATCAATATTTTTAATGTTTTTGACACTTCTTCTTCTCACGTTCATGTTAAAAAGAAACTCTGTAGTTAAATATCTTTTATGACGAATCAAGTGGAGAAAGGAGTTAAAGACTAGAAAAGAAACCTTAACACAAATTGAGGCTAATAATAAGAGGAAGATTGAGGCTATATGCATTACCATATACTACCTCATGTCTTTAATATAAGAGCTAATTTTACATTCAATTTGGTATTAAATATAGGATCCTAATCTATTTTGCCTCTTATATTTATCCATTTTCTCCAAAGTTGCATATGTTAAAGGTTTTGTCAAATAGTAATTCTAACTAATATACATGATTAGCAAGAGTATTTCAGGAAATGCAACATCTATTTATTACAAATAACTAAGTTCCAGCTCTTATATTAACAACCAGAGGTAATATTATATAGGATAAAAGGGACAATGAATAGTTCATGAGGGGTCGAGTCAAACATCCTTCCATTTACCCATTTTAGCATGTGTTCAGAAGTGTTACGATTCAAATTGATCATAAAATAAGCTCATAGATTGAAAATTTAAAATTTGCTTCATGGGTTACTATTCACTGGTAAATTTCATATTTTTGGTTTAATTTTAAAAATTTATAACTAATTATAGAAAAATCGTATTAAGGTGACTTAAGTGTCCATTTAAAGCTCTTTCCATTCTCTACAGGAAAATATATATATAAATATGCACTTAAATCTTCTCAATTCATACAATTAATTTGTCAAAATTTACTATTTATTTGCTCAAATAATACATTTCTAGATTCTCTGTCCTAAATTTGAACAATCAAATCTCTTAGCACATACATCCATTTTAAGCGATTTACCATTTGTTTTAAAGCTTAGAATATGTACAAACTGCTTATCAAATTTTATGGGCAGATTCATTCATTTACCATACTTTTGCTTTGTCTCAAATTCATTGCTCATTAGCATGCTACATGCATGCAACCATTCTCATATTTTATACGTTATTCTCATACATCTACATGCTCAATTTTACATGTTATTCTCTTTATTTATCATTACATAACATCAACGGCATTCTTCTAATCATACATCACATAAAGGGATACATAACATAACACAACATAATATTTTTCTCAAATTCTCTCTTCTTTCTTGATCTTCCTCATGCATTCCTCTTCCCTTTCACACCATGCCTATTATGGTTAGTTAATGAAGGATGAGATTTGGGAGAATTTCAGTAACAAATAATAACTATCGAAACATACATGGCAAGCTTGGTATTCATAACATGCTTGCAACTTGACATCTTTATAACATAATGATATGTTTGGAAATTATCATGCATTTATCATAAAACACATAGGCCCATAGCATATTCTAAACATATCCACATTCACATTACATGAGTTCATAAAATTGCATAAACATAAAACATGCCACACATGCAAGCAATACCAAGCACATAAGAGTAGGGTAAAATTTGCTACCTTTAGCCTTTTACATTCAATCTTTCCTCTTGATCCTTTTGCTTCCAACCATCAAGGTTGCTTGATCAACCTTTCCCATTTATCTTCATTGATTTCACATGGCCCTAATCACATTAACACATCATTACAATTCATTTATTAGAGTCATGGAATCAATTATATTTATATTTTGCTCTTTAACATATTTTAACCTCTAACTTTTGAGCTTTGATTCTAATCTTTTTAAAATTAATTTCACATACTATTCTCACATGATTTTTTTTTATGAAAAATCCATTTCTAAGCTCAAATTTAAAAAAAAATCCAACTCTTTTCCCATAAACAAGCATTGGCCGAACACTAGGATCTTAGGGTTCAAAGTTTCTGTTTTCAATTCCAGTGCTTCCAAACTTGCTTTATCACTTTTACCCCACACAATTTTTCATTCTAAGAACATTGAAGCATCAAAATTATCAAATTCTAACCATAACATACACCCTAGGTATGGCCAAATTTACACAAAGGTTAAGGGGAAGTTGGATTCTTTCCAATTTCATTACAAAATGACTTGATTCTTATTCTTTTCTAGCATTTACACATGACTCCATCATCAATCAATCTTTTTCATGGCTTAATCAATATTGGACAGCATAAACACTTAGGGTTTTATGCTTACAAATCTCAACAAAAATCATAACTAAGTTCTGCAAGACATAGAGTATCATAAACTACTTCCACGATCTTATCTTGTCTTGAAGCTTGGATTTTCTTAGAACTTGAAACTCTTCTTCTTCTTCTTTTTCTCTTTAAAATTTCATGCTCCCTTGCTTTTCCTCTGTTGGCCATCCAAACACACAAATGGGAGCGATAAATGGGCATTTATAAGGCTCTAGTTATTATTTACCTTAGGTTAATCTAAGTTACTTTTACCATTTTACCATAACACATATCTCTTGATTAAACTATGTATTCCATTATCTTGCCAAATGTCCAATTACCATGTCATGTGTCCCTCTTCTAATTTTCCTATGTGTTCTTAATCAAATTGGAGAGTAGTTTGAAATCCAAGGTAATTCCTTTCCAATTTTGCCCTTAACAAATTGTATAAATTCTTCCATGTCCCCTCATCAAATTAACATTAAAATAGGGAGAAAATTAGAGAGAAATTTGTGCTTCCTCTCACCCTTGACTATTCCTCCATGTATTTTATACTTTTACTCCGCATCAGGCACTTTTTCGATCCTAACTTACCCAGTAACACTAAGACATGTTCTGGCACCCTTTTTTCATGATAAATAATTTCACATGGCATTATATATGCATGTACATAGAGAAATAAATATTTTTCCTTTTATCTCCCATTAAACATTTAATAATATTTATTTCAAAGTAAACTTGATTGAATTTTTGCTATCAGTCCATGACTCCAAATGTAACGTCTTGAGTTTTTATCGGGTTTTAATAGCTTCTTTTGGTTGATTTTGAGGATAGATTAGTGATTTAATCTTGATCTTGGTGTTTGGGTTGGATTTGAGGTATGTTGGAGGAATAGGTGAACGTACCCCTCTCATGGTATGTTCGCCGCGGCGAAGTTCACTTCGCCACAGCGCACCGGGAGTTCCAGGGGAGAGTATCCTTTCGGGAATGTCTCGCCGCGGCGAAGGTGAGGGCATGCCACGACGAAGTTTTTTTAGGCGAGCGACAGTTTCCTTTCAGGAAGCTTTCGCCGCGGTGAAGATTGGAGTTCGCCGCGGTGAAGTCGGGTTTTCAGGCGAGTAATCCCTGTCGGGATTAGTTCGCCTCGGCGAAGTTATGGGTTCGCTGTGGCGAAGGAGTCCGAATCTATATAGTCGCAGGAGGGGTTCAGTGTGTGAAAATTAGAAAAATCTGAGGTAGAGAGAGAGGCTCTGCTAAGGTTTCGAATTTCTGGCTTGGAGGGGGCATTTCTAAGGATCCATTACCTCAAGTAAGTGATTTTAACCTCTAATCTACTTTCTTTCTTGGAATTTCTAAGGATTTATGGTGGAACCCTAGGATTTTCTAGGTTGTGATGGAATTGAGGTTTTTGACCGATTGTTTTGAGTTTAATTGATTGTTTTGGGTTAGTCTAAGTATTTAATCAGTGTAGTTTTCTTGGATTTAAAGAACTTGGAGTTTTGGAAGTTAGGGTTTATGAGATTGGGAGGTTTGTGACTGAGGATGACAATGTGGATATTGATTTTGAGTTTTGTGATTTGGGTTATGTTAAGGAGGGTTAAATTGGATGTTTAATCGGTTTAGAATGTTGTTAAGACTTCAATTATTCAAATGGGATATTTGGGTGTTGAATTCTTATAGTGAGTCCTTGAGGTTTGAATCCTAAATTGATATTGGGAGAGGAATTAAGGTTTTAATGAACTTTTATGACTTTAGAGTGTTGTTTTGGATGGTTATATCCTTTGAGTTTGGTAGAGTTTTGGTTGGAGCTAGGAATTGTGTCCCCAAATATTGTTTTGGCCACATTATTAGTTTGAAAGCTAATACATGATGGTTGTGTGTTTGTGTGCTTGTGTAGACCGGTTGTGAGTCTTGTTGGTGCACGGGGCCACATTGTTGGTTTGTTATTCCTTGCTCAGGCGAGAGGTAACCACTTTCCAATCCTTAGTACTTGCTTCTGTGGTATTGTGAGTAGATTTACGTT